ATTTTTCTTTCTTAAATCGTCCCTTTCTTTTCCATTCCTTTCTTTTAGGCTTTATTTTTGCCTTTCTTTCTTTGTTTTTTCTTTCTTTTCTTTTCTTTTCTTTTCTTCTTGTACCTGTCTTTCGTTCATTCGTGGTTTTGTCTTTTTTGCTTCTTTCCACTGATATTTTCTAACTTCTTTGTTGCTTTTTTCTTCTCTCGCCCACGATTAACGGGCTAGTCTTGTAAACCATTGTGCAGCGTATTCCTTGCACACTGAGTACCCATTTGCAGGGGCCTTATGCCAGATGAAGCCTACTTCTATCAGACTTCATATTTTTTGCTTCGTAGATTCCTAACATTTCTTGAAATAACTTATATGCCTTCCATACTTATATTACAAATTATTATTATTATTATTATTATTATTATTATTATTATTATTATTATTATTATTATTATTATCTTATTTTACTTCTTCTTTTACGTCTTTTCTTTATTCCTTTTCTTCATATTTATTCGTCTTTCAGTCGTCTTATTCACGCCTCGAACTTTCTGTCTTCTTCCCAACTTTAATCATCCTTTGCGATTCCTCTTTAACTTCTTCTTTTTCATCATCATCATGATCATGATCATCATCATGATCATCATCATCATCATCATCATCATCATCATCATCATCTCCCTTCCCATCTTCTTCTTCTTCTTCTTCTTCTTCTTCTATCTTTTTTAAACTTGTTCTATCTGCTGTTGCTGTTCATCTTTGATCGTTTTTTCTTAATATTCTTCGTTTTTTTCTAACTTTAATAATCATTTTATTTCCTCTTTTTCTTTAATCAATCCTTCTTCTTTTTCTTCTTCTTCTTCTTCTTTACACCCAAATTTACCTCATGTTCCTCTTAGTTTTCCCCCTTTTTTCTACCCTCTCTAATCCTCGTATTTCTTTAACTCCCTTTTCCGCTGTTCCGCAAAATTTCCTACGTACATTTTTATCCTTTTCTAACTTGTAGGGCCGTTATCTGTCGATACCAGTCCTCTTTCATTATGGCTTAACACTTTTAGATTCTTTTTCATTTACATTTTGACCTAACTTATCTATTTTCTCTCTTCTTTACTTTTTCTTCTTCATCATCATCATCATCATCATCATCATCATCATCAGCTGCAGCACCAGTATCATAATGATTAAATTCCTTAAATTGATTTCCTTGTTTCTTCAACAATTCCTTTAAATGATTTTTCTATTTTTTTTTCTCTCTTAAACATATTTTCAGATTTTTCCTTTAATTCATTTCAGTTTCTTTCTTATAAGTTCATTTTGTAGGTTTTATTTCTCATAAATTAACCTACTATTGCGATGTTTGCTCTCTTTCAGTTTATCCATTTCTTTTTCTTAAGTATAGTAACTAGTTTTTTTTTAAAAAACAAAAAAAAAACAAATTGTTTCTTTCTTTGTTTCCTTTTTTTCTTTCTGTCGTTTTGTCTGTGATTTTCTGTTTTTTTTTCTTTGTTCTTTTTCCTTTTCTTTTCGCATGTCTATTTCCTTCATTTTTCTTGGATTCTGGTTTGCTTGGTTGAGTCTATAATTCTTCGATTATTTTTATTTTTTGTTTTATGTTTTGTTCTTATTTGTTTTGTTTATTTTTCATTGTTTTTTTTCTGTTCTTTTTTTTTTCTTAGTTTTGTCATTGTTTCCTTTTTTTCTTCGTTTCTTACTACTTTCTTTTTTTCATTTTTCATTGTTTATTTCTACATTTGTGTTTTTATTTCTTTGTTTATTTTTTCCTGATTTTTTTTATTTTTATTTCTTTGTATATTTTTTATTTTTTTATTTTTATTTCTTTGTTTATATTTGCTTTCGGTTTATTTTTCCTTTTTTCATTTATGTTTAATTTGCTTTCCTTCCTCTTTTTCTTTGTTGAATTTTATCTTTCTCCTTCCTTTCTGTTAGGTTGATAGTTTAATATTATTGTTATTTTTTGTACTTTTTTTCGTTGTTTATTTTATTTTATTATATTATTTTATTATATTATATTATTTTATTTTTCCTTTTGTTTGTTTTTCTCGGTTTCTTTCTTTCTTTTTTCTGTTTTTCTTTTTAATTTGTTTTTAATTATTCTTTCATTAATTTGCTTCTGTATATTTTTCTTCCTATTCTTCCTTTATTTTTTCATTTTCAATTTCTTTTTTTAGACGTTTCTTTCTTTCTTTCTTTCTTTCTTTCTTTCTAATTAATCGTTTTATTTATTTATGTTTTTTTTCTTTACTTTCATCTCCTATACTTTCTTTTTAATTATTTTAAAGATTTCCCCACTCTCCCTCTCTCTCCCTCTCTCTCTCTCTCTCTCTTATTCTATTTTCTTCTATACTTTTTAATCGACTTCCTTCTTTTCTTTTTCTTTCTTCTTACATTTTTACCTTCACCCTTTTGTCCTTTTCCCCTACTTGCTACTTCTTTACCTTCCTCTTCACTTAATCTCCTATCTTTCATACATCGAACCAGTTATCTCCATATCAAGTAGCAGAATACAACCGTCGGCTAAACGAAATGCCAATTACACTACGAAATTCGTTCCCTAAGGTTCGTGTCGCACATCACATGAGAATAACAACACGCAAACTCGTTTCCGAAAAGCCTGGTTTAATTATGCCAGTGGGGCATTTAACCCATCCGACCAACTCACAACACACAGCTCCCGACCGACACCTACACAAGTACAATCTGATGTACGAGAAACGTAAGCAATACAATCCAAAGTCATTAATATTTGTATAATAAGGTACACATTTGCAAAAGATAACAACATAGAAAATAAATATAAAAAAACATGGATGGAGATGGAGATGAAGGACCAGGGTTTGTTGGAGTTTCGACTATTCAGAGTTGAAAACACCGTGTTTGATCTACAAATATTCTTTTCTTTAAGGAGACACGGCAGATGACTCTGTTCACAACGAAAGGAACAGAACTGAACAATGAATCGTTCTGGGGCAAGTTTTTAGTGTACGTCATTTCTGTGAATATTTTGCAAGATTTATTTAATTTATACTTATTTTGTTGTATCTCTTGTTATTTATCTCTTTATTAAGGCACCATTCTTGACTCGCTCTGTGTTTCTTTCTTTCTTTCTTTCTTTGTTGATATTCACTCTAAGAAAGCACGCTCTTTAGGAATGATGGGCTGACAGAGAAAGTTTTCGAGATTTTTCTCTCGTTTTTTTCTATCGATAACTGTCTCCCTCATTCAACACATTTTTAATATATTTTTCCTTTCTATTTTTCGACTTCCCTTTTGTGGATAGACCTTAAAACTTTTCTTTTTTTTCTTTTTCTTTCGTTAAATAAGAAATATTTTTACGGGGTTGTGTGCAGTTATGCGAATACACCAGGTATTCAATCACAGGGTAACGCGTCAGACAGAAGTATAAGAGAAAGGCGTACGTCAGGGGTAATAATGGTGGTACATTCGTCTCATTGAAGCACCGAGCTAAATCTTTCTCAACTCAAACATGTTTACACGCACGCAAAGAGAAGAAAACAAATTAGTGTTAATGCGTACATATACGCAATCAATTAGATATATCTTTTATATTATTTAAGAACATATGTTCAAAGGTAAGTATGAATATGGTAATAATAATAGATAATTATATATATGTATATATTATATCATAATCTATGAATATATGCATGCACTTGTGAGTATATATATTTATACATACATATATATATGTGTGTGTGTGTGTGTGTGAGTGCGGATGTATAGGAAGAGATGGAAAGAAAGAGAGAGAGAGAGAGAGGATGAGGCAGTAATACCTCCCACATACCTGAAATGAAAACATTGTCACTAATATCTTACCATTATTTGGGAGATATATGTGTGAGATATATCTATCTCACCCAATATGCTGATAGATGTCTAATCAAACACGTGGATTCACTAAAATATTACGTTTCATTTATTATTATTATTATTATTATTATTATACATATATATATATATATATATATATATATATATATATATATATATATCAGTTAAGAAAAACTTGGTAATCCGTATGGGTAATCCCAAGGAGGATTTACAACAGTGGAAGCTTAAAGTGGTGTTTTTCTTTAAAATATTAACTCTGAATTTACATCAATTTCCATTTCAATTTTCGTTTCATTTTTCCAAGTGCTATCTGATGATCCGGCGTCCTTTAAAAGGGCTCTGGTGAAATAAATTATTATAATGGAACCTTAAAAATGGTCTGTTTTTCTTTAATATATATATATATATATATATATATATATATATATATATATATATATATATATATATATGTATGTATTTATGTATGTATTAGATGATGCAGTATAATTAATATTGCCAAGAAGTTGTCATACAAAGAATAAATTAGTAAAATTAATGTAATTAATGGCGAACTCACTTCCCTAACAGTTTTAATAACGCATTAACTTCCTAACCACTAGTTGAATGACGGGATCATTGTTTTTAAAAATTGTAAAATTGATTAGATGTTCCGTATGTTCCATATATATGCTAGTACTTTCGGTAAAACTTGTTAACATTTTCAGGCACGGATATTATATTTCCTTTTCAGGTAAATTCAAGTCACTTCCGAGACAAAAATAAATGTAATACAAGTCAAAAGATGTATTTTTAAAGTGTGTTATTATTAACAGTTACAAAATTTTGGAGCGTACAGTGTTGAATTTTGAAAATTTTAGATCCCAACATTTTTTTTTAATATAGTAATATGGCACTCCACGATTTTCTCTTATTTTTGTCGTAAGTGTTTTATCAGACAACGAGGTCCAATATCTAAAGCAATGTTCAAATGCTATATATATATATATATATATATATTCTCCCGTCGGGTTCGACGTATGAGGCTCAGGTAGAGCAGTTTCTAGGAAACTTAGATCCCGACACCGGCACATGAGATTCGATTATAGTGGTGAAGGCTTCGTGCAGGATGATCCACACTTTTTGAAGGTTCGAATACAGATACCTGGTGCACTACGTGCCACAAGGTCCCCAAACAACCCCGCTCAGGCACGGTGGGGTAATGGATATCGGCTTGGATTGTGAAATCGCAGAGCCTAGTTCGAATCCAGGTTGAATCCATTACATTCACTTACGTGCTAATACCCTTGGGAAAGGTGTGAATCCTATTCTTCTCCCTCCAGCTATGGGTTAAATAGCAGGACAGACTGGGTTCTATAACCTTGGATGGCAACTGGTCTAGGGGATATATATATATATATATATATATATATATATATATATATATATATATATATATATATGCTAGTACTAACCGTTTCCCTACAAGGAAACGTTTGGCATTGATTGACTGAGCAGCCAGTACTGCTTTCGGGTGAAGTTTCGAAAACAATTCTATTAAAACAATTTTCCATGAAAATAAGCTTCTCAAGTTCAGTATTTGTTATCGTTCTTTTCAGTATTGATGTGGGTTTCCTTCGTAAAATTTTATTTCAGGTATTGTCGAATATCAGCATCTTGATTATGTCATTATTTTCTCTTCGAATTACAAGTGCTATCTATTTTAGTTGTTACTGTTTTTGGTCGTCTCCAAGTGTCGTGTTTTTTTAATTATTTGAAAGGATTTGAAGGATGATCTTTGACAAAACACTCAGACTTCACTGGCTCAACATCTTTTTTAACCATTGATCTTAGAAAGCGTTTGCATACAGCTTGCAGTTTAGATATTTCTACCGATTTTAGAGCCATGCATGACATCCATATGAAAGTCTAGATTTGACAAGGATTTTTAAGATCATGACTCAACTTTTCAGGTTGACGTTTTGGCTTTGTCGCTATTTAAGTTGTTGGACAAAAACAACATCTGTTGCAGCCTATTCTATGTTCAATTTTCTTTTTTCCTATACTAATCTACTATAACTAATCCATCTGGCGAAGTATTTGAAGTGTTTAGTATTTAGTATTCCTGAATTTTTGTGATGGCTTCATGATATGTGCTATCACTGCTTTCGTTTCAATTCAAGATGATAGTTTCTATTTTAGAAAGGTTTATCTTGCGTCCTATTTCTTGGAAAACTTAGTAAAGGATGTTGATTTCTGGTTCAAGATTATTCATGTCACAACTATAAATAGCTATGACATCAGCATAATCCCCCTCATCATCAGTACATTGGCCAGGGGAGGAAAAGTTGCGTCATTGGCTACTATTGGTAGATTTGTTTGGGATGCGGCATGGAAGGCTTAAATGATCAGTGTCCATCTCATCAGATTTGTGTTTGTAAAAGCGCAGGATATTGTCTAAGAAAATATTAAATAGTTTGGGTCTTTCATTTTCTGCTTTTTGTAAACTGATGTGGTTTGGAATGTTTTCCTATTGGGGTTCACACCAGACAGGTAGGATTCTGTGGATCGATTCAGTTCATCTATTAAATGGTTACATTCAATGGATCTGGAAGTTTTGTAGCTTGGAAGGCTGTTTCTATCAAATTGATAGAGGGAGTCTCTAATGGTGTGAAAATATGCTGCTGTGAAGTCAGCAAAACAGACATATAGTTTCCCATTAAATTGATAAATAATTTCTTGGAGTTGTTTGATGATATATATGAAATCATTGCATTCCCTACACGAATAAAAACACAAACTGGGTCTTGAGAAGTTGACTTTCATAAAACGGGGAGTGAGAGCTTAGTAAATATAATGTTTATTAATACTTTCACCATGATGGATCCAAATGAGATTCCTCTGTAAATGTGAGCGTCTTGACGGCTACTGTTTCCGTAATGCATTAAGGCGTGATAAATACCTTCTTTGGGAATTAGTAATGAGCAGGAAGAGAAAAGATTAACCAGAAAGAAAAGTAGATAGCGATTGACATTGCATTTAAATTTTTGGAGATTATACTTGGTTGGAAAGGATGGAGCCGGAAGGGAGTTCCAAAGCGTGAAGTGCGAGAAAAGAAACTGTCAGCATAGAAGTTACGGCTCCATATCGCCAGCTCAACTGCAAATTGATAAGATTTCGGCCACAGTCAAGTATTGCTTTTGAATTCAAAAAGTCTAGGTACTACAGCGAATAGCACATCCGAACAATTACCATGAATGGATTTATAGAAATGGCACATAGAGGCAACCTTACGGCCGGGGAAAGTGACTGAATCAGTGCCATCAGATCAACACACACATATATATATATATATATATATATATATATATATATATATATATATATATATATATATATATATATATATATATATATATATATATATATATATATATATCAAAGAAACAGTTTTGGGGAACTTGTAAGACAAAATGGAAAAAAGTTTACTTGTGACGCGTTACATCCGTTAAGAGTTCATCGGACTGGGATTATTTTGTTATAACTACACATGCGCATGAACGAAAGACGTTGGTAGTTTCAAAATTTTTAATTTTTTTTTTTTTTTAAATAATTATTCGTAATCTATTCAAATTCATCTATATTCTTTTGCTTTTACGTTCCCTCATT